TATGAACTCTAGTTTGATTCTGCAGTTACTGCTGATCTTTGTGTGTTGAAATGCCTCTACTGGCACTCAGTGGTACTACAGGTTCAGAATGTACCTTTTGTTCTTGGATTTCTTGTTTTTTGTCATGACCTGTGAGTGAGCGACATCGCTGAGCTTGTCTGCAGCATCACCTGATATAGAATACAGTGTGTTAGTGCCATCTTTGCTTTACAGTATAACTGAGTATAATTGGCAGGCACATGCAGAGGTGGAACACCAGGGGGCTGGAGCCCCTGCCTGATCCCACTGCTGAGGTACTGGCACCTAAAACTCAGTCAGGGCTGACTTATCACAATGATGTCATGCTCGCATTGTTGGAAATTCCACCGATAAACCAATAATATCTCTAACAAAATATTATGCTGCATAACACAGTTCTTCTGAACAACCAAACATAATGTTTGGCCAGGCTCTGGAAGGTCAGGTTTGAAAGCTGCTCAGGTGTTGCCTTCTTAAACTGTCTCAAGTGCAGTTCTTTTCATTGTTGTCGATGGAGCAACATGCACTGCAACTGAAAAGCTCTCCAATAGCCTGCACAGCTTCACCATTTTAAACTGCACGTTTTAGTTTGAAAAAAAAAAAAAAACTGTACGTTCTCTCACTGTGTTTCATGTTTACATACTTGTCTATCAAAATGCGTTTTCCCATGATATGGCTTGTGTTCAGCTTCATTCTGCAGGCCCCTTGTAGTGGCCATTCTGCCAGCATAATGGAAATAATGGATATTTATAAATAAAATAATTTTCTTCTCATAACTCTGTTATCAGATTAACTAGGACACTGCTGGATCTCTGTGAAATGTTGTGACTCTGTATTGAGCTGCTAGCGAGCAATAAGTGGTGAAAGGGAAGGGGTGAGAACTCATGCTGCCTCTCCACAAAGAAAGAGAGAAAACTGACAGCACAACTGCAGCTTTCTTGATATAAATGATATATTTATATCTTTCTTGATATAAATGATGCAGTTGATATAACTGCAGCTTCTGGTTTTGTAAATCATGCAAATTTCAATTATAAAAGTACATTTCATCAGTTTTTGAAAATGCACGGTTCAATTGAGGGACCTCCAAAAAGGCAGAAATAACATTTTATGGCTACTGTTTAAATGGGTTAAAAGGCGGTATCTGAATGCAGCCAAAGGCTATATTCAAAGAAGCTGTGTAATCAATCATGATTTTGCACAATCAGTGTTTGTGTGGGTGTTTTAATTAATCAAATAATTCATGTAATCTAACAACCTCACTTATCTTTTGTACTGGAATGATACAAGGAAGTCATGCAGCAACATAATCACAATACTAATAGTTTGTTCATGCAGCCCTAATAAGGACATACATTTCAGCTGAATTATAAATGAGGAAAAAACTCTAATTTCTCTGACCAGCCTGCACTGGTGCATGCAGAGTAACGAAATACATTTATTCCCGTTACTGTAATTGAGTACCGTTTTCCCTGTAATGGTTTGTTTTGGAGAGAATTAAATCAGTACTTTTATTCTTAAGTTCATTTTTAATGAAATACTTTTACTTCGCTACTTTAATTTTTATAACGTTACAGAGTAAAAATAAATTATGAGCGTATCAGCGCAAAAACCAATAAGAATGATTTAATAGATTTACCAGTCAAAAAACAGCAGCTCCAGCAGGAAAAACACTAGAGATGTCCAGTTCAGTGAAGGACAGGGGAGAACCGAACCAGCACAAACGAGGAACAAACCACGTCCAAATGGTGATCTGTATTGATTTTTTTTACATGAACTAAAGAAAAAGGCGTTATTATCAGCGGCCAAACACGAAACCTGCTGAGATCCGCTCTCACAACTTGACTCCAGCCTGAGGCAGCATTAGCCGAGCTAGCTGATCTGAGCTAAACAGGTACCGTGTTTACGGGTTTCTTCTGTCTTTTATAATAATTCTATTTATTAAACTTAATCTGTTGCGTATATTTTATTACAAGTACCTGTCAGCCTCTTAGTTAACATGTCACCCATAGCCCACAGTTTACCTGCTCAAATACAGCCTAGTTTAGCTGCTGTTTGAAGATAGTCATTTACAGCTGTGAGACAAGAAATCTAGTCTAATTGTTTCTAAAATACTTTATTGGAAGCAGATAAACTAGGACGTCTTATATAATCATTTGACAATGAAATGCATGCAGTTTTATGTAAACTTTGTTCCTTACACAGTTCACAGAAGGTGTGTTAATGCGCACTAGCAGAGCGTACTGTGATCAGTCTCGGCTCTCAGAACTTTTTTCCCACATAGTATCATATTGTGCTTTAGTGTTTTTCTGTACAGATTATTTCCAATAACGTAGCCGAGTCAGCGCAGAAATATTTTCTGGTTGTGACAGCGGAAATACGAAAAGGTAACTCGAGTACTTCAGCGTTTTACCAATGAACTACTTATTTACTCTTACTTGAGTAATTTTATTTACTTTTATTTGTACTTGAGTAAATAATCCCTACAGTAACAGCATGTGTACTTAAGTAGGGATTTTTGTACTTTTTACACCTCTGGGTGCATGTCCAGACTGAGAGCCCTCAGCTCCTGACTCTCTGTTTCTGCTCTGTTGTCTGGTTGGTGCTCTGCTTGCTTCCAGAAGGGGGAGCCAGAGATTCACCACCAAGACAGAAATAAAAGAAAAAGTGTAATAATGTAAAATAGTCTAAACAAGTTTAATGCTCTGTATTTTATAAATGTTAATTATATATTAATTATCTGAATGAGACCTTTTTTGGTTTTGTAGCACCACAGCAGTATCAGTAAGATGATGGACAACACAGCAAAACTCACTCCTACAACCACTCCAACCAGACCAACAGCAGATTCAGCAGCTGAGCATGTAGAAATCATTTACACAAACAATTTAAACAAAATGTTTGAAAAAAATTAAATCCTGTTATTAGAATGCTTTTATAACAAATAAATGAAAATTTCTTTCTCACCTCTGATTGAGATCCAGCTCTGTGGTGACTCTCCTCTCTCTGGGTGTTTACAGTGGTAGAGACCTTCATCTGACTTTGAGACAGTATGGATGGTCATCTCTCCTGTAGTCTGAGTCTGGAGGAGTGATCCATCTTTATAGAACTCAGCTGTGAGGTTTGAGGGCTTTGTGTGGTGATATAAACAGTGTAGAGTCAGAGGATCTCCCTCAGTCACAGGATGAACAGGACTCTACAGAATCACAGAACCATCTGGAAAAGAATAAAAATAATTGTTTCTCTCATCTGTAACATTTATTCAGAGTCTATCACTGTAGTGAGTGTAGTAGACTGGGTTTCCTCTCCCAGCTCTGCACCAGTACTGTCCTCCATCAGAGACACTGACTGAGCTGATGCTGTAGGAGTGTGTTTCAGTCTTGATCTCATTCTCAGGGTTCTGTGTCTGCACGACAGAAGTTTTACTGGTTTAAACACACACAGTGCAGCTTCTTTATGACTTCATGTGAGTTCAGGTTTGAGTTTTTCTACTGTTGGAGATGAAACACAGTTCAGCCATTAGATTCAATGCAAAAAAAGTTTTACAAAAATTAGAAAAAGGATGTACATTAAAAATTCAAATAATAAAATATTATGGTAATATGATACCATGTGGTAAGTATGGTAATAAATTATATGGTAAATGTTTAAAAAAAATCAGAATAGTATTTGTTAAAAAAGCAATCATATAAATCATTTTAAATAGTCATAAATATTGTTTCATATTTATGTATTATAACTTGTGAGTAGCATTGTTTCATTTAAACTTCACTGCAAATCAGTGCATTTTGAGATCTTTAAATTGAAGACTATAGTTACTGATTATATTTTACAGTGCATTCTACAGGAGTGAAGATCAGACATGTGAGAGTTATTGCATTACTCCAGAAAGAGTATCATTGACCTCATTTTTAGAGTCATAACAATGGTCATTTGAAATCTGATCCACTTTTATGCTTCTTAAGATGTAATAGTTTTCATTACATCTTATAGTATCAGAGCGGTCAAGTACAGTGTTATCTCTGTACCAGTAGTACGTCCAGTCAGCTACACTATCTCTTGGAAATAAACTCAGTGTAACTTTCCCTCCACTAAATATTTGTGACCAGTCAGGCAGCCCACTCAGGACTGGTTTATACCACACTGTAAAAATCAAACAGACACACACTTATCACTTATCACAGAACTCAAACTTTGGCTGACAATCCATGATTAATCCTTTCAGCTCCCATGTAGGTCAAATATGCACACACATTTACAATTTACTATATGCAAATCACCTTGAGTATGCCCACTGTGGACGAGTAAAATCAACACTGAAAAAGAGAAACAGAGAAACATGATAATGACACTGAAATTGTTTCTTTCTTCATGAACAAACACAAGAGCAGCACATTTCATAAATACTAAAAATAAAAGGACTTTTAAAGGTAAATCTTTTCACATGATGAGACAATATTTCTAATGCAATTACAACAAAACACTAATATTTCCTTACACAAACAGGCTGCTCATGGATGTGGTTAACATGAAGTTTCATCTCCTGATCTGAAGCTGAATGACCTCATTTCTACTACATGATAGCTGTGTTCTGGTGCACCATGTTAAAGCCTGGTTTTGCAGCACATCAGAGGACTGAAACAACACTTAACCCACATCACTGGCACTAAGCATCTCTTTAGTGGCACAACTGAGCATTTTATGGTCTAAACATTCAAACCATCTTATAAACCTCCAGCAGCCAGTACAGTCAGATTCAGCAACAACAAGCCTGTTTTTTCTACTATCTTCTCATTCCCACACAGAACTCTCTCTAGTTCAGACTATTAAAAGACACATTCACATAACAGATAAAGCTAAACATACAAAAGAGAATTCTTTTTCAATCTGCATTACAAAGTTCAAAAACTGTATCCCATGGACTGTTCATTTTTAGCAGCCAATATTTTTCACTATTTATCCTTTTAAATAAAATATACACACACATTCACACATTATTCATATTTAGCATTATTTAGATATATCACTGCTGTCAGAACAAAACCTCATATCTCCATTTTTATCCTTTTTTTTTTTAGTTTTTGACATAATTTGAAAGTACCTGTTGCCCTTTACCTTGTGGATATTTTTTACAATAAATGAACGAAAAGAAACAGCCCAAAATTATGATGTTTTTTCCTTCTCCTGCAATGTTATTATTTTAGAGATATAAGGTTTCTGACAGCAGTGATTTATATCTGTAATCACCTCCCAATATTTTTCCCTGTGAGGGGAAACTCCTCTAAATGCATATGCAGTGACACAAAAGAGCAGAAGAGCAGCAACCACCCCTTCGACCCTATTATGGGTGTTAAGATGCTGTTGCAGCTATTTGGTTGCGAAAATGAAGTTTACATGTTCGTAAATCTGCCTCTTAAACTCCTACTGGCTACACATGCACCATCCTATACCTCACCATTTTCTAATGAGCTAATTCCCTTATCAGTGGTGGCTCAATATGCAGCTCATTGGGACATAAATTAATGAAGATCTTTTTTACTCACACCTAAATATTATCTTTGCTGCAATGTTGGTCACACAGCTGTAAACTGACACATCCAACATATTGATCCTCTGACCCTTGGGTGAGAGGCCACTGCACTGATGGAGGCTGAACTAAGGATGCACATAGGGAATCTCTTTGAATAGCATGAGAAATGGGACACTGTACAGCCTTGTGGTCTTCACAAGTGTATGTAAATGAGGACCACAAGGCCACAATCAAGTCTGCTGACAACCTATTTCTTAAAGAGTTAGACCTGGTTATGTTTTTGTCAACAATATATGCACCTTAACAAACACATTAGGATTTTGTGTGATACACTGTGAGAGAAATGGTCAAGAACATTTCCACACAATACAGTGCTGTGCTCAATTCAGATACCCTATAGACCAAATGTTGGCAGTGCCCTTATTGCAGAAAGACTTCTGAATTAAACATACACATCCATTGCTGAGTGTTTTGATGAGCTGGGGAAGGCGTGTCTTTGTGAAATTGTGACAAAAGTTTACACAGCTTGTGGCATTCTGTCTGTGTCTGCTCTACCGGACGTACAGTATGAGCTTAGTCTGATCAAAACACTGTTCCATCACAACCCTTGCTGAGATACAGACTCGAATGTCAGTCTTTAGAGTAGATTATGTTTTTCCCCAGTATGTTAAAAAGACAAACAAACATAGTTTAGTAAATTTGTAGGAAATCAATAAAATGTATATTTTGACCAGAGGTGTTCAAAGATTTGCACACAACTGTAAATATACTTTCTGAATCACATGACTGATCTCACTCATTACATCATCCATACAACATGAGACAGGAATACATTAATGTGGGTTACTTTGTTTACTGTCACTAAATCAGATCAATGCTCTTAAAAGGCAAGGTCATATGCAGGGGCAAGTTTATTTATACAGCACACTTCATACACAGAGGTAATTCAACATGCTTTCAAACATAAAAGTGAAATTAAATATAAAAGTAAAGGCTGAGTGATGGTCATCTCAGCTTCTTAAATGCTGGGGACTGAACTTGTGATCTCCTGACTATAGAACCAATGCTTAGCTGTTTGCACTACTTCAAAGTCCAGTCCAGTGTCTTAAAATGAAGCAATAAAAGCCTCTGTATCCAGACTTGATGCCTGATGCATTTTTCTATGTATTTGCTTTTGGTCATGGCATGTAATGTTTAAATATTATATCTACCTTGTAGACAAACCAAAAACAAGCAGAAGGAAAAAGTAAAATGTCTGTCCATTCTTTCTGTGATCTGGTTGGATAAACACATGTATGGCCAGCTTCTGTGTTTCTTTCTCTCACATCTTCAGAGGCGCTCAGCTTTTGTGCTCACTCCTCGTGGACCTTTAAAAGATTACTTCATTTAGAATATTTTATGCATGCAAAGATACCTTATTTTTATATTTATATTTATATACTTTTATATTTTACATTGGTGATCAGTTTGTCAGTTTTAGAGATTTAAAGCCGGCCTTTGTCATGCTGTAGTGTTGATCTTACCTTTTTTTCTGTGTTCTGCTTCAGCTCTGAATACACAGTGTCAGCATTCACACAGACCTTCTCTAGAAATAACCAAGATACCCAGAATTAGTTTCCAGAAAGACCAACTCATCAAAATCAATAAATGCATCATGATTTAAATACCAGACTAAATACAAGAATAAAAATTCTTTTAAAGTCCCTCAATTCTAAGTATTAAGCAGGTAAGTGTTAGCTACACACTCCAAAGTACTGGATAATTATTTGAGTAACATGGTTTAACATAGTTTAACTTATATCAAACACAACATTGAATTGCCAAACAGATTCTATAGATATGAACTGAATAAGTGTGGGGTACAATTTCCAAAGTGCTATGTAATTGTTTTGGGTAAAATGATGATATCAAGATCATTATTAACTAAATTACACTGAAATGACTGACAGGTTTCAGCTATCAAACTGAGAAAACGAAGAAAAGAAAAAGTAAAACTGATTATGAACATTATAATATACCTTAAATGTTTGGTGAAAAGGTGATCAGTACATACTCACTAAATTTCAATGTTACATCACACATTTAAGCAGGAAATTGAATTGAATTGGAGACAACTCCAAGTACAAGATAAATGACATGATGTAAAATGAGGGCACAAAATACAAAGATGGCCTGATTCAGTGTGTTTACAACTAATGGGCAAGGCAAATTCAAAGTGCTTTTCAAACATAAGAGAGGAATTAAACAGAAAAGCAAAGTGAGATTAAAAGCTTAATAAATATACAAGTAGATTCTATGTAAGACTCTTTGTACTTAATGTGTACAATGTTTTGATGTCATAACCACTTGGCAATTTTTTTTTCAAAATAATTTCACAGTGTTGTGTAGTTTGTACATCACATTTACCTAATATATACCTAGAACCTGTTGGGCATTTCTACATCATTTAGCTAGAACTGTCTTGGAACTTACCAACATTTCACCAAAAATAACCATAACCATTTTTTTTAACCATAAAAGAAAGTGCTACGAAAGGAAGCCTAACCAAAGATGATTGATAAATTGTACAAAACTTGTCATTTAGAAATTAGAATCCATGAGATCTATGAAACAGTATACTAGGTGGTACATCTAAAAACATTATTTTAATCTACCGTGTTGTTTCTTTGAGTTGTTCTTCATTTTCACTTCAACCTCAGCATAAATTATATCCACGGATCCATCACCAACATCTGCAGTAGCAAAGAACACAAAAAAATGCAGATGTTACCACCTCACTAACTTTCAGTCATCCAACAGTGCACACTTCCTTCCTACTCTGATCCTAAGACAGCTGTTATTCAGAATGTGATATCTTCTCTGTTAGCAGAGTGATGTGGAATAAATTGTATCTGCTGGGTAGATATAGAGCAGGGGTTCCCAATCCCAGTCCAGTTGACTCTTTGTCTATAATTTTTTGTGTTTTCCTACTCTACATGTACCTGACACAGCCAATTAGGCCCTTTTTACTTAACAAGTTGAATCAGATTGCGCCCACTGTTGGGTCAGCAGGGCTGCGATTGGGAACCCCTCATATAAAGAGAGAGAGGCACATACCTGTGGCTTTGCCTGAATGTAGATTTGAATAAATGGATTCACTCTGTGAATCCCATTCTGGAAAATCTTCCCCTGAAATGAAACATTGGATACCATGAAACAAATGCACACTCCTAGCAGTAATAGATGATCAAATGTACTGTAGACAGATTCTGATCTGCTGAATTGGTATGTCTGATACTACATGAAATACTAAAGTATTACAAATATCCATCCGGAATGTACCTTTGTCCTTGAAGTTCTTGTTTTTTATCATCGCTTGTGAGTAAATAACATCCCTGAGCTCGTCTGCAGCATCACCTGATACAGAATACAGTGAGTGTGTTAATGCTTCCCATCGTAATTGACAATGTGTAGGCACAAATGAGTTAAGCTTCATTGCACTTGAATGATCCCACTGGTGAGCTACTGGTGCATTAACCTCAGTCAACACTGACCTGTCCTGGTGATATCATCACCACATAGTTGGAAATCTCGCCAAAAAATACTTTATTAAAGAGAGATCAGTATCACACCACATAATCTGTTCAGTTCTTCTGAACAACCAAAAATAATGTTTGACCAGTCTCTGTGGAGCAATTAACTCACCAGTGCATGGCATTGCTTTCCTATGAACCATTATTAAACTCTCTTGATAAGAGGTTTTTGCTATATAATGTAAATTGAATTAAGCTTAAATTATATTCATGTTGGTCTTTTTTCTCATGAGCCCCTGTACCCCAAAATGTCTGCGCACACAAGTGAGTATGTGTTAAAGCCTTGAATCGCATATGTACAGTATGCAGAAAGTATATGTTTGAAATGATATGACATTATCTTTGTCACTCTTGGCTGCTTCTTTAAGCATATCATGAATGGGCAGTCTCTCTTTCAAAATAGAAGTAAACATGCATAAATGCACAATTTCTGGGCAGTAAAACAGAATCACCTGTAATGTCAGTGGAGAATTGTGACTGAGTATTGTGACTGAAAAGCTCTCCTCTAACACATGCAACATGTTTTACATCTGTAACCTACAATTTTTCCATTGAGCGCCAAAAATCGCTGTATGGCATCAAAGCTGACCAATCACTATCAAGGACAAGCTGGTTTTGGCTGTTGGTGAACACTAACATGAAGACTATCACAATCTGAACTTGAAAAAGTTTCCTATTTATTACTGTATACATGTTGCACAAACGTTTTTGCTCATTTATGCTCTTTCTGCAGCCCCCCTGGTGGCCGTTCCTCCAGCAGAATGGAAATCAACTTGAATATTTTTAAATAATACAACCAAATTAAATATTTTCCCATCGTAGCTCTGTTATCAGATGTTAACACACTGTTGGCTATCTGTGTGTGACTCTGTTGGCTCTCTAATTGTGAAATGTGACTCTGTGTTGAGATGCTAGTGGGCAATGAGGGGTGAAAGGGAGGGGTGGGAACTCCTGCTGTGAAAACAATTCACACCTCTCTGAAAAAACAGCCATGCCAACATAAAATGACCAGCACAACTGTAGCTTTCTTGATATGGAATATCAAGAAAGCGACAAAAGCAACAAAAGAGCTACAAAACAGTAAATAAATAAATAAAAAAAAACAAAGTAGATAGATTTAATGGAACTGATGAACCTCCAAAAAGCGTTAAGTGAATGTCTGGTCAATCACATTTTTACTCTGAACAATTTTAGTCCCAGAAGAGTAATTATTTGGAAGATGAATCAATTTATTCATGTAATCTAACAAAACTCAATTGTTTTGTATGTTGGAACAATATATTGGAACCATAATATGTAGCAACATGATGAAACTAATATTTTTTCATATCATTATCATATTAATGAGAAAAATACTCATTAACTCCTTGACTGACCAGCCTGCACTGCTGCGTATCCTAATTGGGAGTCCTCAGCTCCTGACTCTCTCTGTTTCTGCTCTGTGATCAGGTTTGTGTTCAGCTTGTTTTCTGCAGAAATAGACAGAGATTCACCATCAAGATGGAAATACAAGAAACAGTGTAATAATGTAAAATAATCTAAATAAGTTTAATGCTCTGTATTTTATACATGTTTTAATTATACATTATTATTAATTATCTGGATGAGTTATTAGACCTTTTCTGGTTCTGTAGTGCCACAGCAGTATCAGTAAGATGATGAACAACACAGCAAAACTCACTCCTACAACCACTCCAACCAGACCAACAGCAGATTCAGCAGCTGAGCATGTAGAAATCATTTACACAGAAACAATTTTTAAAATGTTTCAAGAATGTTTTAATTCTATTATTAGAATGGTTTAATAACAAATAAATAAAGTTCTTTCTCACCTCTCATTGAGATCCAGCTCTGTGGTGACTCTCCTCTCTCTGGGTGTTTACAGTGGTAGAGACCTTCATCTGACTTTGAGACAGTACGGATGGTCATCTCTCCTGTAGTCTGAGTCTGGAGGAATAATCCATCTTTATAGAACTCAGCTGTGAGGTTTGAGGGCTTTGTGTGGTGATATAAACAGTGTAGAGTCAGAGGATCTCCCTCAGTCACAGGATGAACAGGACTGTCCAGAATCACATCACCATCTGGAAGTGAATATTGATAAAAATGCTGAATCTGTGGAAAAGTAAAGACCCACACAGTGTTTCATGTAACTCCATACCTAGTGTTACTGTTAATGATCTACCTTAACAAAGATAATAACCTCATTAATGAGCTCAGGTGCTTTGGTGACTCAAATCTTACACTGTAGTCACTGTACAGCATAATTCATTGTTTTACCTGCTCTAACAGATCTGATTCAGCTCATGAGAAAATCAGTCAACAGTGCAGTACAGTTGCTGTGCTCAAATATCCTATAACTATAAAGAAGTTTCCTACTGATATAAACCACTGAAGCTTTACTTCTTAAACACTTTTCTGTGCTGGAGGTTCATAGGTTCAGATTCTTAAACTGCAGTGGCAAATTTTATAATGACGGTAAAAGTAAATAGCGTGTCCATAAGGTGTTTGTTCATTCATAAATGAGGATTTCTGGCATGTTTCATTAATTTAAATATGGTGCTAGCAATTAACAACATGACACACACACACACACACACACACACACACACACACACACACACACACACACAAAAAAAACAAAAAAACACACACCTTAACCACTCTGATGGTAGTTTTTCCGATAAGGTGCCAATCATGATTAAATGGTATTTTCTACAGTGGTTCTGGTGCAGCATGAAACAAATCACACACAGTCATCTGATTAACCAGATTATTTAAAAACATCTTTTGATCTGTTTGAATGGAGCAGCATGGCTAGCCTTCTAACTGCTGCTGTAGGAAAACAGAGGAGCAAAAAGATTTGCTTAAGCAGGATTTCAGACTGACAGATTGTACTTAAAACAGTGCAGTTCCTCCTGCGTCAGTCCTCCACATGTGTGTGGAAAGTTGGTTTAGAAGTTGGAATCCAAATAAGTGAGTCATTTAAAATGAGATTCTAATTGTGTTTGAATTGATTTTATTGTGAGTAGTTTTAGCTTTTAATGATATTTTTCAGTTTACAATGGATTTACAAATTTACAATTTACACATGCGAAAATTACGTTTCAGAACAAAAAAAATATTTCTTGCAAGATTTTTTTAATAGTCTCTATTTCATATTTAATTTTCATGTGTGCAAATCAAATTCCTGATATCAAGAATTAAATAATTAGTAGTTAAAATTTAATTTTCATATGTGTACATGAAATTACTGTGATCAAGAAAAATAAGAAATAAAACACAAATTATGTGCCATAGTAATCAGAATTTCAGCATGTTAATTAATTTTTTATTGTAATGATAAATATTTATTTCTGAATTATTTAATTGAGAAATGAAAGTGCATATTAAAATATAATTCCTCCAAATAAAAGTGAGATTTTAAAACATATTTTTTTCCATTTGGTCATTTTATAGCAATTTTTATCATAGTAAAAACTTTTTTTCTTAATTAAAAGTTAAAAGCATCTTTATCAAACAATTTACTAGTACATGTCAGAACTTCTTCCCTTAAAATGCGTAGCTCTGTTTCTGAGAATTTAGGTTGTCTTTCTTTCCTTGGTTTAGTTTCTTTTGGCAGCCAATCATTTATATGTTGATTCTGATTGGCTCTTGCTCAAGACACCAGTGAAAATACTGCAGTGTTAAAAGACAGTGGCCCACTAATCAGCCACACGGTAACTTTAAGAATAATTCTTATTTACCACGCTGCACAATTTGTGTGGCGGTGCACTGTTACTGCTAACATTTATACATCTGGCCCATCGTATTGTACATTATATGATGAAGCATTTCTTCTGATAAGAATAAACACTTAGTATGGACTCACTGTGCACTGTGATGTTGACAGGATTACTGCTCTCTCCAGATTCAGACTCACACCAGTACACTCCAGTGTGGGATGTGTTGATGGAGCTGATGCTGCATGTAGATCCTGTAACTGATCCCCAGCCTGATGAACAATCTGACACCTTTTCACTGTGTGTGAATCGTCTCACTCTCCATCCAGTAGAGTCACTCTGTCCCTCACAGCTCAGTGAGAGAGAGTCAGTAATAAAGTGTTGAGTTCTGCTGGGACTGACCATCAGAGAGATTGGACGAGAAACACCTTAGACACAGAAAGGACCATTCAGATGTGTAATTATCTTGTTATAGATACAAAGCACAGTTACTTTGAATATGGAAAAGAGTTCAACTCCAGTTTTGATTACTAAGTGCCACTAATTTATGGACCTACTCATCCAGCGTTCTTTCTGAAATAAAGGGTATTAATAGAGAGTTTGTAAGATCTTTGCTGCAGTAACAGCCTCTACTCTTCTGTGTAGGCTCTACACGAGATGTTGGAACATTGTTTTGAGGATTTAATTGCATTCAGCCTCAAAAGAAGTAATGAGGTTAAGTAGGGTAACTCAGGAGAAGCAGTCCCTGTCCCCAAAAAGATTCCTGGAATTCATTGCTCTTCTTTTTCCTATTAATGACAATTGATGTCATTTTTTGACATTGTGCAACAGTGGTGGGTGTGTGTTTATATTACATTGTACAATATATGATTAGGGAGATTTGCAGAGCACAATATATTTGACAGGTAATTCAAGCATTTATTTTACTGTTAAAAAAGGTCTTTATAACATAAATTAATACAATTTTAAAATATAATTTTCAGTCTTGTACTTTGATTAATAAGTGATTTTGAAAAACGCAAACTAGACATTAACATTTAAATTATACATTTTCTAAAATCTTAGATTATAGATTTATGCAGGATTCCTAAAGCTGGGGTGGGGGGGCTTCTCTGCTGAGAGCTGCCTTGTCGTCTTAACCTGAGGGCAGCATTCCAGGTTTTCAGCAGTGCACACAATCATAAACTCCACCAGAGCAGAGCAGTGACTTAATACTACTACAGCATTTCTGCAACATTCATCATTAGTAGAAACACACATCCACCATAGCGAGTCTTACTATCCTGTGGGCAAAGTGTGCTATTAGCCTTGATAGCTGAATGGCCGCGTGTGGAATGAAGGCACTGATTTCCTTAAAAACAAAAATGCAGCAATCCCTCCAGTTTGCTCTCGGAGGTTAGCCGTTGTCTGAGGTGGTCCAGTTTATCGCTGAGAGAGCGGACATTGGTGAGGGGAAGAGATGGTACAGCTGAATGGCTAGAGCAGTTTTTAAGACAGCACGGATGCCCAAGTTCTTTCTGCATTTCTATTTTCTGTTTATATACACGTTTTTGGCACTTCCTCTCACGGCCATGATATCAATGTCAAGCAAGGTCTGGCAGTAATGTGTTTGCCAGTGTTTTTCATGCAAATCTACAGCAAATTTTATTTTGGAAAACTGGCTACAAGAAACAAAAGCACCATATTTTCAGTACACTAAGTGGCCTCAGTGTCCAAAATGAGACACCATCTTGGAAGAATTAAAATTTATAAAATTTATAATAGATTATACAATTTTATAGGAAAGGTTTTTTGCAGGATTATGGGAACATAAAAAGGAAACATAATTTAAGAAATGGATAAAATTAGAGAAAAATAATCATAACGGTTCAAAATGTTTGTTTAAACACACAAAACCTCACACACAAAGGCTTAACTAAGACAAAATCTTAAAGAAAGAAATTAGCAGGCCTAAAGTTCTAAAATGAAGAGAGAGACATTCTTTAATTTGTCTGCAGTATTTATAAACTGTTTCACTCACCAGTCGTGTTTATCCAGAGAGCATCACTGTAGTGAGTGTAGTAGACTGGGTTTCCTCTCCCAGCTCTGCACCAGTACTGTCCTCCATCAGAGACATTAACTGAGCTGATGCTGTAGGAGTGTGTTTCAGTCTTGGTCTCATTCTCAGGGTTCTGTGTGTGTTTGAACCAGTAAATCCTCCATCCAGCAGACTGATCCAGATTACAGTACAGAACCACTGGATTTCCTATCAGTGCAGCTCCTTTATGGCTTGATGTGAGTTCAGGTTTAGGTTTTTCTGCTGTTGGAAATGAAGCACATAGTTCAGTCCATTAAATGAGTTTGAGTTTGCTGCTAAGTAAAGCTTTATTGGTAGTAATCTGAGACTCAAATTGTTACACTTTATTCTCATTTTAAGCCAACATAAGCCAAATTTGCTTACCAAATGAGGCAACAGAAAACCAGAATAATGCATTTATCTCTCACTGTAGAAAACCTAAACCATTACATTCAGTGCTACAAAGAAATACCTTCTCAAAGTCCTTGAAGTAAAACACTGTTAAAAGAGGCTACTTGAAAGCACTGATTTCGTATCATAGCTATTGACACAATTATCAGAAAAACTTTGTGCTTGATTTGTACCAAAGATAATTTAGAATAAGGTAACTTTTCTAAGTGAGACTTCATTGAAAATGAACAATATAACACTCACAGTTACATTTATGCTTATAGTGCTTTGTAAAACGAGTAATCTTATCAAGGAAAAAAAAAAACATTTATATAACAAAAAATGCATCGCCTTTAAATGAGGTCATTTTACTTGCCAAGACTTTGCAGAGATCACAAACTGCTTTACCACAGTAATCACTCACCCTTAACAGAAAGATCCACTCTGATACTGTACTGTGATGATGAGGGTCTGTAATCTCTCTCTCCTCTACACCAGTACTGATCCTGATCCTGATCTGCTGCTGATCTGATGGTGAAGGTGTTTGTCTGAGACTGATTGACTGCAGTTCTACTGCTGCCTTTATACCACTGATATCTCCAGTTACTGTAAGACTCTATCTCACACTTCAGAGTGATTGACTCTCCAGTGAACACAGGGCTCTCTGGTTCTACAGTCAGTGTAGCTCTGGGTAAAGCTGTGAGAAGAGATGTAGAGCAGTGAATTTTCCAGATATTTAGAGTCAGTGTGACCTTATATAGCTTAAATCTCTGCACTGAATGTAGTGATATGATGCTGAATATTTGTGTGAATAATAGATTAATACACTCACCTGATACAGTCAGTGTAACCGCATTACTGATCTCTGATCTCTGAGAGTCACTCCTCCTCTCTCCTCTACAGGTGTATTTACCACTGTCAGACTCTACAACACTGAATGAATATTCTTTTTTCACTTTAGAGGAATAAACTGGACGGTTACTGTCACCATCTTTATACCAGCTGTAGCTCCACTCAGTGTCTGTGTGTCCTTGTATGTCACATGTAAGAGTCACTTTCTCTCCAGTAAACATCTGTCCAGTAGGCACCAGGATCGGTAAAGCTTTTGGTCTCTCTGTACAATCACATCACATAAATATTACTGTAAACCAGCCAAACACACACTGCTCTGTGAATTCCAGATCTATTAATAAATACTGTTACTATTAATGATTATATTTTACAGTGCATGTTACAGGTGTAAAGATTAGACATGTACCTGTTACTGTGAGAGTCACTGCGTTACTCCAATAAGAGTCTCTTTGACTCTGTTTCTCAGAAATATAACAGTAGTATTTTGAACTGTGATCCACTTTGATGTGTTTTATGATGTAAACGTTTTCATCTGAGTGGTGAAGTTCAGTGCTCTCTCTGTACCAGTAGAATATCCAGTCAGTCATACTGTGTCTTGGAAAGGAACATCTGAGTGTGACTTTCTCTCCACTGAATATTTGTGGCCAATCGGGCTGCACAGTCAGAACTGGCTTAAAATATACTATAATAAACAAACAACAAGCACAAAAATTACTGCACAGAAAGCACATTCTGTCTGACGGTCCATAATTAACCTTTTAGCTCCCATACAAACACAATATAAGCACTATGTATAAATCACCTTGAGCGTGCAAAGTCTGGACGAGTGAACTCAACACTAAAAAAAAAAGAAAGAGAATCAGAGAAACATGATGTTAACACTAAAATCATTAGTTTCTTTAAGAAAATGTGTGCAAGCAAAAAATTCACACAAAGCAAAAATAAAATGACAATTATTATGAGGGTAATTTTTAAACCAAATATAACAAAACCAGTATTTTTTTCTTACACAAACAGGATGCTTATAAATGTGTTTACTGTGTGAAAGTGTGATGTGGTTCACATGAAATTTTATTTGCTGATCCAAAGCTGAATGACCTCATTTCTACTACATGATAGCTGCATTCTGGTGCACCAGACCAAAACCACAGTTTTACAGCACATAAGGGGACTAAAACAACACTGTTTAACATTGACACTGCACAGTTTGTCATATTTATTTTATATTTTGTATCTAAATATTACATTTAAATATTCAAATAATGTTATAAACCTCAAACAGCCAGCACGGTCAGACTCCGCAATCACAAGCATGTTTTTTCTTGTCCTCTCATTCACACTCAGTACTCACGGTACACACTCATTTACTGCAGTTCAGTCCATTAAACAGATGCATTCACAAAACAGTTACAGTGATAAACATACAGGACAGAAACTGTACTGTTCCACTCTGGCTGCTGACTGAAACACACACATTCACCTCATCACACACAACCTCATCGCTTACACACTCAGATTAAATATTAGTACCTTCATATAGCAGCTCTCACTCTGCTGAAGACATAAAGAGAACATTTACTCACAGAGTATTACAGAGAGTGACCTGAACTCCATACTGTCCCCGTACTGACTGACTGACTGAACAATGCTCTGTGTTCAACTCATCACTTCCTGAGAGAGAGAGAGAGGGAGACAGAAAGTCAGTAAACAGTAGTCAGTGAATTATTTTTTTAAAGCAAATTTAGATCAGCAGTCATGTATAACAAAGTAGTTTACAATCTTTTGAATGCAAAGAGAATGTCATATTAAGTATTATGGAATTGGTGACACAGATGTTGCATCAAATGGCATTGATTTCCGGTCTTAAAGTCTATATTTATACTGATTTGATCCCTTTCTGAGCTAACCTAGTAATGAAAAAGTGCTAAAGATTGCAATGGGGATTCTCCCCTACGAGGCATGGTGAGTGTGAGTGCATGTTAAAAACACTATTATAATGGAGGGCAGGGATGCTGGTAGGAATTTTTGGCCCTCTAAAATGTTCAGGCTCATTGTCTCTCCTCAGTTCCCTGCAGAATCTATGTTAAAATGAAAACATATACAAAAATGTTCAGAACCCTGCTCTTTATTTTTTTACAGGACCAGCACTGTAAATCATACTTAGATTGGGTGGTTACTTCAAAAATGTAATGAAATATTGTTTTTGGCTCCTGATTACATAACACAATTACATGTATTATTATTACAATTACGTGTAGCTAGCTGAAACTGTCACTTTTACTCTTCTCAAAAGAATCGAATCGTCATTTGAATGAAAAATGAAATTGTCATTCTTTTAACAGCCTGTGACTGGGCAATACCACTGAGCATTCACACAGAGGGGCTCATGACCCACTGGAGGGGTGAAAGAATTCAAGATGTACAGCTTAAAAAAAGAATGTTAAATTGTAAAGCCAGGGTAGTTGAGTTTACAGTTTATCCAGGGGGAGGGGTCTAATGCTGAATATCATGAAAACATAGAAAAGAAGATGGTCAACTTGGTGAGGGCATTTATTTAGTCAGAATTCACATTTTATTACACATTAAGAAAATGACATGAGACCCCATGTCTAACGTTGTTGCTCTCATGGGGGTCTCTTTCCACCCCCATTTGAACCCTGCTAAAAATCCTGCAAAACATTTCTAAATTTGCCAGTTGTAACCTTTGAGCACATCCTTAAGGACTGGGAGTCAATTGCACATATTCATTAAAAACAGGGGTTTCAAATTTTTGAACACTGCGCAATGCGTTTATGTGTGAAAGCCTTGAGAGTTAAAATTATTTTTACTGCTACAGATATGAAGTATGAAGACTGCTTCGTAATAGTGGTTAAAATAAAATAATAAAGAATACAAGGGTAAATCTCGCAAAAATATATTGTGAAAATAGTATTCTTCAATACATGGATCACCTGCTTGACAAATATACATTTACTTATGCTTATTAACAGGTAATGCGCAGTATTACTCAACGTTTATGAGTGTATAAATGGGCCATTCTAGAAACACTTACAGAGGAATTCACAGTGGTGGTAACAGGAACCAGACATTCAAATGCAGAGTAACTATAAATCAAGGCCTGGAAATCAAGGTGATCCCCACAAAATAATGAAAAGACTGTTTAGATATTACAACATACTAAACATATTTTTTGAACAACATTGAGACAATATTTCATTGTGTGCTGAACATCAAAAACATTCTCTGCTTTATGTAAAATAAATGATGAGCGACAAAATATGCAAAGAAATGTATAAAATCTATGTAACTCATATTTTGTACAACCTATGTTTTTTCTACAAAAAAAAGAACAAAATATTTTAATCAGTTTGAATCAGTTTCTAAATCTCATCTGAAAGCGCTTAAAGAAACAAATGTCTCTCATACTTTCAGATTGTCTCTGATTCTCAATCTTCTGTGACACTGACTGCACACTGACTTTGATCTTAATTAGTCTGAGCTGCACGAAAAATAAACAAAAACACTTACACTGCCCTCTGCTGGTGTAAATGCATCATTACAAATTTTAAAGGACATGTTGTGTGTGTTTGCTTTGTGTTTGTTTTTTTTTCATATTTAAGACATTTTCCAAGCACTTCAAACTCTGCTGCATAACATTGCCATCACTATGCCATAAAGGTCATGGCTGATGCCATAAGCTGTCATTAGTGGTCATAACAGATTTTGTCACAACATCATTGTGACAACTATCAATTACTGGTAATAGTAACGTTACACTGTTATATTACTGAACAAAGTCTGTCATGACATGTTTACGGCGGGGTTATGTTACTGTTATGTAGCAGGGTTCTAGTAATGTGTTACCAAACTTTGTAAAAATAACGAGTTGGTCAAAGTAGCAGTTGTTGGTCAAAGGCCTGTCAGAATTATTATATCATCACAATTTTTTGAACTGGTTTCAATTATTTAAGCTGACAGCAATCATTCTCCACAGATGTTTGCTTCCACAATCTTATGTTGATTTTGAAACAAGCAGAATGGGATTCGGGTGTGTTCATCAGTTATTTTGAATACATTCAAAATCAAGGAAATCAGAAAACACATTTATTGTGGCATGTCCTGAATCTAACAAAACAGTTAATTAATGAGTAATGTTTATTTCTTTGTGACTGAACTGTGTCTGGCATTGGTTGGAAGCTACTAAGTAACAATTGTGAAGAAGCTAGATAGCTGATCAGCTAATTTGAACCATGTTCAACATGCATTCAGTGGACCAGAGAAGATGATTAAATTGTTAATGGCAATTTATTTGACAATTAAACGTTAACAAAAACAGGCCTAGCTGGTCAGTGATTCTCACTAAGTTACAGGTACACCATTATAGTTTCTGTCTTTAACTAATAATTCCGCTCCTACCAAACTTAAAGTAACAGGCAGTTGTGATTATTGATTTAACCATCTCTATAATAATAATAGACTGTGTTATGTGTATTATAAAACAGATAGTTCCTGTCCTAAAATCTGATTGGCTGAGCCGCGTTCGAAGCCATTGTAAAATCCATGATATACCACAGCTACGGACACCTCAACAGGCTGAAAGATAGCAAACATGCTAAACAACTCCAACATTAATATCACAGGCTTGAATTAAAGTACTCACGAAATGATTCACTGAAAAATGGCAATCTAACAGTCTAAAGAATGTCACCTGAATGGCTAACATGCTTCAAATGTCAGTGTTTCAGTCAGAATAGCATCAAACCCAGGCTGAATCTCAAACGGCTCCGTACTGCCTAGCTAAATAGTGAGCTGTGTAACATTAAGTTTAGAAATTCTAGCTTCTGCTGTCAAGTAGTGCACTGCTTGTAGAGTGTGAATGTGGATGAATCCCAAATGACTATTTTTAGCAAGTGTTTGCATTGTTGGGTTGCAGAAGTATTTAAATTCCTACGTAGTGCACTGTGTAGGGAGCAGGGAGCTGTTTGAGATTCAGCACCAGTGTCATCAGACTGGCAGAAGACTCGCAGTGGTATTTTGGTGACCAAAAAGTACTTATAAACCACTTACGACCACTCAATCATATATGAAGAAAAATATTCCTCATTCATATCCACTTATATTACACTTAATAATGTGAAAGCTTAGTTTCTGGGTAAATTTTCTGAAGCTTTTAAACAAGCTGTGTAATCAATCACAGTTTTACTCTAAACAATCACAGTCCCACAAGAGTGTCTGTCTGGGTGTTTTAATCAATCAAATAATTTGTGTAACATAACAAAACTTGCTTATTATGTATACATGAATGTTATATTGAAGTCATGCAGCAACATAGTCACTATACTTACATTTTGTGCAAATCATGGAGCCCTAATAAGTACACACTTTTCAGCTGAATTATAAATGAGGAAAATACTCATTAACTCATTTGTCTGATCAGCCTGCATTGGTGCACGTCCAGACTGAGAGTCCTCAGCTCCTGACTCTCTCTGTTTCTGCTCTGATGTCTGGTTGGTGTTCTGCTTGCTTCCTGAAGGGGGAGACAGAGATTCATTTAACAAATGTTAATTATGCATTGATTATCTGAACGAGACCTTTGTTGGTTTGTTAGTGCCACAGCAGTACCAGTAAGATGATGAACAACATAGCAAAACTCACTTGACCCAGCAGCTGAAAATGTGTAGAAATCATTTACACAAAAACAGTTTGAAAAATGTTTGTAAATAAGTTTTAATTCTACAACCCCATTTCCAAAAAGCTGGAACGCTGTACAGAATGTGAATAAAAATGGAATGCAATAATATGCAAATCAAGTAAACTATATTTTTAAAGGAAAATACTACAAAGACAACATCAAATGTTGAAACTGTGAAATGTAAAATATAAGTCCATTTTGAATTTGATGACAAGAACACATTTAAAAAAAGTTGGGACAGGGACATGTTTACCACTGTGCTGCATCATCTCTTCTTTTAACAACACTCTGTAAGCGTTTGGGAACTGAGGAGACCAGTTGCTGTTGTTTTGAAACTAAAATGTTTTCCTGTTCTTGTGTAATTTAGGATTTCAGCTGCTCATCAGTTCAGGGTCTCCTTTGTCGTATTTTTCATTTCATAATGCTCAAAATGTTCTCAGTGGGTGACAGGTCTGGATTGCAGCCAGGTCGGTTTAGCACTCAGACTCTTTTAATAGGGAGCAATGCTGTTGTAATACATGCAGAATGTGGTTTTACACTGTTTTGCTGAAAAAAGCAAGGCCTTTGCTGAGAAGACGTCATCTAGATGGCAGCATATGTTGCCAAAACATATATATATTGTTCAGTGTTAATGGTGCCTTCACAGATGTGCACGTCACCCATGCCAAGTGCAGTAATGCACCCCTATACTATCATGAATACTGGCTTTTGAACTGTGCACTGATAACAAGCTGAGTGGTCTTTAGCCTGGAGAACACAGTTGAGAAACATTAGAAACATTATTCTTGAATGGTTGCACTATTTTCTCATGTAGTCTTTCACAGAGTCATGAACCCCTCTTCATCTTTACTTCTGAATGACGCAGACTCTCTGGGATGCTCTTTTTATACTCAATCACATTACTGACCTGTTGCCAATTAACCAC